ACCAGCTGCGGGGACGGGCACGGGTCAGGGTGGCCTGGTGGCAGGTGGCACTGCAGGGGACACCCTGGGATGTCCCCACCCAGCCCCGGGTGCAGGGCCCCCCATGGGTGCAGTGACACCCCAGCATGTCCCAAACTACAGTGCATGTCCCTCCCCGGGCCCCCTCTGGGTGCAGTGACACCCTGGGATGTCCCCACCCAGCCCCGGGTGCAGGGCCCCCCATGGGACCCCTCTGGGTGCAGTGACACCCCAGCATGTCCCAAACTACAGTGCATGTCCCTCCCTGGGCCCCCTCTGGGTGCAGTGACACCCTGGGATGTCCCCACCCAGCCCTGGGTGCCTGTCCCTCCCTGGGCCCCCTCTGGGTGCAGTGACACCCCAGCATGTCCCCACCCAGCCCTGGGTGCCTGTCCCTCCCTGGGACCCCTCAGGGCACGGGGACACCCCAGAATGTCCCAATCCACAGACCATGTCCCTCCCCGGGCCCCCTCTGGGTGCAGGGCCACCCCGGGATGTCCCACCGCCAGCCTCGCATGCCTGTCGCTCCATGGGACACCCCACTAGTGTCCCTCCCTGGGCCACCCCAGCCCACGGTGCGTGTCCCTCCCTGGGACCTCTCCAGGCTTCCAGCCACCCGAGATCCAGCCGGGAATGGGTGGTCCTCCCTGGGCCCCTTTCTGGGATCAGGGTGAGCCCAGSCCACCGACACCCACCCCTGGGTGCTCGTCCCTCCATGGGGACCCCTCGGGGCCATGCTGTCCCACTGCCCGGGACRCCCTGGGGCACAGGGTCACTCCACGTCCCCGTGTCCCTCCATCTCCCACCCATTCCAGCTCTGGGATATCTGTCCTCTCCCTTCCCAGGAGCTGGGATCCCTCCAGGCCTCGCGGTCCATCCCGCCGGCTCCCCAGGAGCCCGGAACGCGGCCATCCCCCCGCAGCGCCCCCGTCCCTCGATGGGGACCCGGGGACACAGGGGACACCCGCGGCGCCGACCTGCAGCTCCTGGATGCGGGTGCTGAGGGTGCGGGCCAGGTTCCGCGTATCCGCCTTGACCTTCTCCAGCTTCACGGGGCGGCCGCGGGCCAGCGGCAGCCAGAGCCAGAGCAGCCCGCAGAGCCACACGCCGGGCGCCCGCATCCTGCCGGGGGACAGCGCCGTTGTCCCCAAGGCCAACGAGGTGACATGCGGGGCGCCCCGTCCCGCCGCGCGCTCCCGGCCCTTCCCGGAGCTGCCCTTTCGCAAGCGCCGCGCGGGCGGCCCAAGGTCCGCGGTGACGGCGGCGCTGGCGCGGCGCCCTGCGCCTCCGTGTCCCCCCGCGGCTGGCGGGACACGCGCCCGGTCCCGGGGGAGACCCCCAGGGCGCACCCCGCAGTGCCAGCCCCGTGGGTGGCAGAGCTGGGTGCAGGATGCGGCCGAGCTGGGGTGGCCGCCCTGGCTGCAAACCCGCTGCCCGATCCCCGCCGAGCCCCTTCCCGGGCCAAATCCCGGGATCCTGCCCGTTTCCCGCATCGCCCTGGGTGCTGCACGTCCCTGTGCACCCCGGGCAGGCGGCCCCGGTGCCCCGGACAGGCCTGTGGCCACCAGCAACGGGGACACCCGGGCAGGGACCCAGGCACGGCCCCGTGGAGTAGGAGGTCGGGGTGCCGGGGTGCCGGGG